TAATGAATAAAACGTAAAACGTTACAACCAAACACCGCGTAAAAATATGAGTGACCATTCTATTTTCTAGATGAATCCATAGTAATAAGAAATAGATTTCTTATGACTATGATGAAACTTAAGCAAGATTTGTTACAATTACAAAATCACTGATTTTGTAATTGTAATAAATTATAATTTGAGATGCTTTTTAAGGTAGCAAGATTCTTCATGTTAAGTTTCATAGAAAAATGTGCCACTACAACGTATATCTTTTAACTCTAGTTTAGTTCCAGAAAAGACTGTAAATAATTACAGTCTTTTAGAATGTAACTGGTCGTATGTGTGTATCTATGTGTGTATATATATATATATATATATATATATATATATATATATATATATATATATATATATATATATATATATATATATATATATATATATATATATATATATATGTAGACATACAATCTTGATGGTCACTATCTTTAAAAAAAATTATACATTTGAAAAATAAAGTAGAAAACGATACTCTAACAGAAGAAACTGAAAAAGTTTTACAATGCTTATTCAAGAAGCTGTTTAAAAAATTGGTTAAAAAAATGGTTATACAAAGATTAGCCTTCTACAAGTAGTTATCAGAGTTGGCATTGATGACAATCAGAAAGTTTGCATTGATAGTGAAGGTTGGCATTGATAGCAGTCAAAAGGTTTTGAAGATTACAACGAGGATTATTGATTTTAAAAATTTTCCTTGGAATACGAGAAAGTGAACAGAATTCTGGAGTAAACAAAGTTTCAATCGGCATTTGGCCCCAAAAAGACGTCTTTTGAAAGTTCAAAACACGTTCCAAACATCTTTTGAACTTAATTGTAGGGCCAAATGTCGCACTATGCGTCGCTCTATTACAAAATGAGGAAATAGGCTTATAAATAAACATATTGAACTGATTTTTTCAGAAGACATGGAATTTTGTTTATATTTTTATATTTAAAATAAAAGTATTCGGTTTTATAAAAAAAAAACAGTTTATTTTTTCCGGTTCATCCGGACTAATTTTAGACTAACCCGGAAAACTACATAAGTCCGGATAATTTTATTCAAAAAAAAAAATAATAATAAAGCGCAGATATTTTAAAGAATTTAACAAAATATATCATAAACACGATTTAATAATAAATAATATCTTTGAATATAAACTTATTAAAATGATAAACAAATCATCTTATTCTTATCATCTTATTCTTCGCTCTATGGTTTCTTACAAAGTTCCTCAACATTCTATTCTAATAGATGTTTTAATAACTTGTGGCTATGAAAATAGCCGTTTTTTAAAAAAATTAACGCAGAACATCTCATCAGTTTAACATTTTAGTTCATGATATAGGTCTTCCTTTTTAATTACTACTTAAAATTTATTAAATTATTTCTAAAAATTTTTTTAAAAACAAAAACAACAAAACTTTGAATTGTTATTATAAACAATATTGAGTCTTCTCTATCAAAAAAAAATTACAAAAATAGTCAAAACTATTAGCAATAGTTTACCAATTAAAAAAAAAAAAAAAACACTCAGCATTCTGTTTATTTTAGCTTTAATTTAAACATCAAAAGAACTATCATTTTGCTTTTTAAACTGTTTTGCCCTCACTCTTTTTATATTCATATTGTTTTTTTTTTTGCAATAGAGGTACATATAAGATGTCATAAACAAATAATTAGCTGTATCACTAGTGTTTTATGCCAAGAAAGTTAGACGTGCATGACCAACTTGTGTAATTTTATTTTCCTTCTTTCTGGCTTCAATAGCACTCTCAGACAAAGAACCTATTGGAGGATACTTAAAATACCTAATAAAAGAAGCATCATGAATTATTGTTCAATGTACAATTTGTGACTAAGACATGATTTTTTTTATTATTAGTAATGAGTGCAAATAGATGTTCAGATTTCTAATTTAAAATCTATACAAATCCGGTCTTGAAGTCATGATGTTTATGTCAATGAGTAAGTCTCAAAACAACTTATTTATTTCATCATTTAGGTGCTCTCTGTGGTATACTATAAATAAATAAATACTTTATAGCATATACAACACTAACTAAAATTTTAAACTTAGATGAGGTTTTACATGTAATATGTACACACATACACCCACACAAAACAACTTGTGTACGTGTATGTATGTACATATTACATGTATGTGCGTGTATGTGTATATATTACAGAATCTCCATTCTCCTATAGCTTTCTTTTCAAAAGTCCTTATTGCTTAACTATTTCAATACCAGAAATAGAACCAACAAGTAGTTCACTAACAAAATGTTATTGCACCAAAAAAAAAGCAAATCCAACTAATCTTTCAAAGACAAAATGGTGCTTATTATAAGCACCACTATAATATAGTAAGAAAGTAAACTACTTTGAACTGTAAGGCTTGAATTTCTTTGACAAACCAATTCAAAACAGTCAATCATGACTTTTGTTTTAGGATAAGTCTATTTGAAACATTACAACATGTTAAGTTTTAGGTGATTTAAATTAGACCAAAATAGTATTCCACTGAATTCAAGGTATATCAAACTTCACCATATAATAAGATCTTGACACAGTATATTTTGGTGTCTTAAATAACCAGAAAGTAAAATTTAAATAAAAAAAAAATCTAAGACATGCTAATAACATGAATAGGTGGTCAATCGATTTCATGTTTCACTTATGACCAGACATGTAAAATATAAAGGATATGTAAACAAGTCTTTGGATAACATTTCCTTAGAATGATGTTTAGAATAATAATACTTCATACTTTTACGTTCATTTCTAGGATTTAAATATTTAAATAAAATGCCAAAAATTTCTTTTATCATGCCAGTGAACAAGCTATAACATTTATCACCTTTTTTGTAGTTAAAAATATTATTTTTCAAGTGGTCGTTGATTATTTTTAAACTTTTATATTCTTCAAGCATGCTACAATAGTTTTCATTTACTACTACTCATCTTTTTTAAATGATTGTTTTTTTCGGATGAAAACAGCTCACAGTTTTCACAATTTTAACTATTTGTAAAATCCAGTAATGTATAAAGTTTTTTACTGCTAAACTTAGTCGTGAACTCAGGATATTTTGACCTTTTACATGAATATTTTCAAGGTAATTTTTCTTGTGTTGTTTTAAATGAGTACAAGCTTTGAACTTCATTTCTTTTTTTTAAAGATTTTTTACTGCAATCTGAACTAATTTTTATCTCCAAAGGCCAAAAGTGAAACTCACACACCTTAGTGTGTTTCATTATTTCAAAATTATCAGTACCTCCTATACGTCTATACTAAAATATTTTGTTACACCAAGCTTTGTGAATGTCGTGTTTTTTATCTTGGTTTGAAAGTTAAAATAGACCAATATTAGTCTTTTCCATATTGTTATTATAAAAAGAATTTCCACACAATGATATACAGTAATACTTCTCTTTTCCACCTTTTTTCAATATTGGTCCTAAAATGTTATAGTTAAAATAAGACATTTTATTTAGTAAGAATTTAGTTTGTTTACATTTTTGTCCTTATTGGCCTCTTTTTAAAGCTGAGAAAAAAGTCGCGGAAGAAATGTCTATTTTGTTTTTTATAACTGTTAATTACCCGGTTTTTAATAAAACCTACGACAGTTGAATTGATTTCATACCATGTTACTACAGAGATAGCCAGAATATTATTTCACTTATAACAATTCAATTTAATGCAGAAAGTTTATTACAAATAAAAAACTGCTTACCTCTGTACTAACATGGTTATACTTTTAGCTGTTGTTGAAGGAATTTAGGAAAAACAACTTTGTTATTAAAATTGTAAAGCTGACCAGAATAAACAAATACAGTTTTCTGACTCTGATCTAAAACTTATTAATTTTCTTTATTAATCATCATTAAATCACAATTTGTTTAAAAATTTTCTTTTTTAATTTATTTTTTTGTTGATAATAACAATTTCAATGTATAGACTCAAACTTTATTGTTGTTGTTGTTGCTGTTATATGGAGGACAGTTAATTCAATGGATAGGGATCTCAGAATTATAAAACGTTTATTAAGCTGGTATAAAAAATACAAAGCTCAAGAGAATTCTTAGAAAAAGATGCAAGGATTCATAAAAACAATTAAACTTAAAACTCTGCATAATTGATATACTTAACAGTTCTCAATTTAGCAATCGTTCATTACTGATAACTTACTTAACAGTTCTCAATTAACAATTTTTTAACCAAAAAACTAAAATCAAAAAGAAAAGAAAATAAATATATTTTCTCATTTATTATATTTGCTGTTATGAAATGTACACCTAATCAGTCGTTCCTTTGCGCCACTTATTATTAAAATCTGTTTTAATAATAAGTTACTGTAATAATAAGTGAAAAAAAATCTGAAAAAATTAAGTGACGTTTTTATGCGTCACTTATTAATAAAATTTGAAATAAAAGCTGAAAAAAGCACTAAAAAACTCAGAATTTTTTCTTGAATCTGCGTCTTGTCTCGCATAGTGTTTTCAATTTTCAAAGAGCGACGATAATTTAATTATTAAATCATTCTTTGGTTGCAGATTACTTTTTTTTTTTTTGAACTTTTTCTTCTCTTTAAAGCTTATTAAAATATTAATTTTTAAATTTTGTCCAAAATTTTATTTATGAGGTGTATTCTTTAAAATAATTCAACAACTTTCAAAATGCCAGCAAACATACAATCTAAACTTGATGAACATTTAGACATTGTTTTATGCACATGTAGAATTATTTTCTGCAGTGAGGATGATAAACTTTATAAAGTTTAATAATTATAAATTTATAATTATAATATACTTATCGAGTATATTTGAATATTAACTAGTATTTATGCAACATCAACTAATTCACAAATAGTATTATGAAAAAAATAAAAGCGTCTGAAGCATAGGGGGAAAAACGACTGTTATACTGTACATTTATAGCTCAAATAGTGTACATTTTGGGAAAAAAATACAATACTACTGAAAAAGAAAATTTTGATGAACATTTATGAAACAGTGTACATTTTGGGAAAAAAATACAATACTACTGAAAAAGAAAATTTTGATGAACATTTATGAAACAGTGTACATTTTGGGAAAAAACACAATACTACTGAAAAAGAAAATTTTGATAAACATTTATAACACAACTGGTGTACATTTTGGGAAAAAACACAATGGTACTGGAAAAGAAAAACGTTTTTCATAACAAGAGAAGTAAAAATTAAATACACATCAACATCAAGTGCACCAGACAATGCAGCATCAACCTTGTGCACCAGACAGTACAGAATCGGGCCTTGGACCACCAAAAAAAATGAAGACCTTTCTTTAGAATGTTAAATAATAAACATATGTAGTAGTAATATATATTTAAGAATATATATGCTATGTGGACTTATATGTAATAACGCTAATAAAGCTACTACTTGTAAGTAATAAATTTTAAAACAAACCTGCTTTTATTATACAATCATTTTATTAAAAAAATAACAGAGGATTTTTTCTTTATAAATCAGTTTTACCGGTAAAAGGGAGAATCATTTAATTTTCAGTTAAAAGATAAAACTAAAAATCACAACATAAAATAATTTAATTACGCATGCGGCTATGCTTAATAAATAAATTTCATGTGCTTAATAAATTATGTTAAAAATATTGGTATTGATTTATCGATAGATATCGAGAAATCAAACGTCATTAAGTCGAAAGTCTTCAAGTGAATCTGTGTCTTTATAAAACTTATAATTATTAAAGAAATAACGTTATTACATTACAAAATACCATATTTTGCTTCACACGCTTTTTGCGCCTCAATGACGGCCATTTTTAAAGTTTTTGAAGATTTTCTTTTAAAATGCTTTTCAAAGTGAGGAATAAACAGATTCAAATCTTTACAAGTCATTTTTGATTGAGTGGTAGAGTTTAACCAATTAACATGCGCTTTTCTATCAGAAGATGATTCAACACATGCTTCTAGCGAAATAACAAGCCCGGGCCACCATCCATACCCGTGACATCTACCCCATACAACATCGCCAATTCGAATTTCTTCTTTACTTCGAGTTAAAGGTTTTAATAATTTTTGTTGTTCAACTATTCGGTGGTATAAAGTTTTTTTTTCAGGAATTTGTTCGCTTTTGTTATTAAATTCTATAAATTTTGATACATCATCAATCGATGCATCTTCGACATCACTTTCAAAATTTTTAGATGCCACGTTCTGAATTTGATCAGAGGAATTTTTGGTTGCGGATTTATTGAGTTCAATTTCTTCTTCTTCAACATCGACTTCAAATACAGAAGACACACGCTGGAGTGGAAATTTCATATTAGGTAATAAACGAGGACGGAGTTTAAATAAATTACGTTTTGGTGAAATAAAAGAATCTATTTCTACACTGTAATCATAACAAACATCCTTTTTTGAATCTTTACTCTCCTTGCTCACTTTAACTTCTTTAACACCAATTTTGTTAGAGGAATCTTTTGTTTCACCTACAAATAGAGCAAATTGATTCACAGTGTTATTAATATACTTATCAGGCGCTTCATCGCAGTTCGATTCCTTATTTTCTTTGAGAATGTCCGATTCTGCAGGATTAGGTAAAGACTTAAATACTTTTACTGGTTTACGTCTATTTTTAACACGAGGAACATTGCTTAAAGTAGGTTCAGGGGATAAATCAGTTTCATGACAAAATAAGTCGAGGTCATTAATCTGCTGGTCTTCGTGATGATTATCTTTATCCAAAAACAAATTAACTTTACTATTTTTAACGGAAACATTTTCAAGAGAGTTTTTTATGGTATTATATTTATCATCCAAATATGTCGTAGTTTCGTCAGGCAATATATCATTCTTTTGAACTTTGTTATAAAGTAAACTTTGCTTTGAAGAGGCATTGCTTAAACTCAGCACATCATTCAAATTATCACTTTTTTTTTCTGTAGCACTGTCTGTAACACACAACTCTTTGTTGGATATTACATCATAAATACTTACGTCAGACAACAAGTGGTTTTGGATTTCATTTTTTTGTTTGCTCGATTTTATTTGATCTTTTGTGTCTTTTTCGAGTTTACAATTTAGGCTTGATAAACGATCGTTATCTAAATCTTGATTCTTAGAAGAGCCTATAATATTTCTTAGAGGTTTTTCTACTCCCTTTAGATTGTGAGATTTTCGAATATCTAAGGAAAAGGACTTAACGTTTGATTTACACTTTAGAGTTCTTAAATTCCGTTCATTTACTTTACGTAAACTAAATTTTCTAATAGCATCATTACCCTTTAAATCTATAGGAGATTTTAAAGAGCTTGAATTGGCTTCGTCAGAAACTGCGAAACTATCTGAAACTTTGCTTTTTAACGGCTTCATGCTCTGAGCTAAAGCTTTGCGTTTTGCAATAGCTGATGCTCTTAAACTTCTCCGTTTCTTTCTTTTACTTAGAATGTCGTCATCTAAATTGAAAGTACTTCTTAAATTCTTTCCTCTTAACTTACGAACTGAATCATATTTACGAATATTGTTTAATGCTATTGTGATTGGATCAATGCGCTTAGGTTTAGATTTATTTTTAGATGGTGTGGTGTTAACTGAATTACTTTTTATTTTCTCTGCATTGTCATCTTCGCCTATTTGAGTTTGTATTGAATGTTCCTTGTGTTGAACTCCATTTTTTCTCGAAAGTAAATATCTCTTCATTTGACTTTTGTGACGATTTTTAATGACAGATAACTCTATACCTACTTTTGGAAAAACTTTGTAATCAGCACTCAAAGAAAGCTTTGAGACAGGGATTTCATCTTTAATATTGTCTAACTGCAGAATATTGGTACTGGTTTCTTTTACTGCATGTGTAACACGATCAACAATTTTCACTTGTCTAGTTGTTTTTTTCGGAGGTTCTAATTCATGATCACTTTCAGTTTTTTCAAGTTGACGCTTTGCTTTTGTATTAGCTAAGTTAATTTTTTCTACTGCTCTGCAAACTTGTTCTAAGCGTTTGCCTTTTGTAATTACAATTTTTGGAACTTTTTTAGGTGAATCAACTTTAGGCAAAGATTTTCCTTTTATTTCATTAATTTTGGAGACATCAATTGTGAAATTATCTTTAGACAATCTTGAGTTAGATCCGAGAGGTGAAAAATTTTTTTGAGAGGTTTGAACTAAACTTGAACTCGATATTGGATTCGCTTGACTAAATGTAGCTTTGCTTTCTTCTGTTAATTTATTCACTATACAATCCTTATTAAGTCGCAAGTCAAATTGAGAATTGTGATAAGTATTAATCAAATTCTTTTTGCTGTCAAAAATATGAAGAGAACGTTTATTAAAGTCTTCATGGGTATTCACAGATAGTACTTCATTTTGAGGGGTAGTATTAACAAATTCTGAAAAAACTTTGGCATCTGATTTAACTTTTTGGTTTATTAAAATTTTCTCAGTGGAAATATTTAGAATATTTTCAGGGGATTTTTCAGAAATGTTGTCAATGGATTCGCTAGACTGACTTAATTCACCAGTCTTTATTTTTGTTATTTGCATTAATGGTAATTTATTTGCATTTATTTTATTTAATGTCAACTTGATATCTTTTCGAACAGAAACACTTTTTGGCTCAACTTTACTTGGCGCTTTCAAAGGTACTAATTTGACAGAAGGTTTTGGCTCAATACGTCTAGTTAGCCACTTTGACTCTACACTTGGTTTTATTGGTTCCTTATTTTGAACAAACAATGGCAACAATGCAAGCTCTTTGCTGGAATTGATACTTTCAACTAGTCCACGTATCGAGTCGATTGGAGATTTTTGACACGTGTGTTGCGGATCAAGATCATAATCATCGAGTACAATGCATGATTGCTTCAGTTTTTTACTTCGCGTACTTTTTGATGTTGTGTCAAGGTCACGGTGTGTTATTTCATGAATTAAGTTATCTGTAGTCTCTTGACTAAGCAATGCTTTTTTAGGAAAAAACCCATCAGGAATTTCTCTGAAACAAAAAATTAAAAATACAAATATATAAATGTTTTATTAAACTCAAATCAAATTTATTTTCTCAATTTCAATTATGGTGATTCTTACTAAAACTATAGTATATTGTACAATATACATCATTTTAGCGAGAGTTTATAAGAGTCTTTTAACATCTTTATAGAATGCTTTTGCAATTTATTTAGTTATTTTTTTGTCATCTTTTAATTGTTAAACAATTATTTAAATTCAAATAAAAATTAAAAGAATCGTTTTATAATAAACATTTGACCACAATTTTAAAAAATTACATAATAAAAGAAGTCTGGGCCAAAAAAAAAAAAATCAAAAAAAAAACCCAGTATGTTAACCAGTTCATGGCACCGCATATGCCACGGAAAAAAATGTCACAAATTAAAATAAATATCCCAAATTAAAAAACAATTAATAAATATCTCTAACTTAATAAGAATAAAAAAGAATACAAATACAAGAAGAAAATTAGGCGTTTTTTTCTTGTATTGGTATTTCTTGTAAATTACATTGGTGGCCAAAGAGACTGCCATGTTTTTCATGTCATGTCACTTAAATGAAACCTTTTAAAACCTCTTTTATTCAAGAGTAATAGTAATTCATTTGTTTGTATTTTTTTGCCAACCTGATGCCAACCTCTAACAGTTTGAGGTTGGCAATTTATTTCGAACCACATTTTTTCTAATTCGGAGGGGTATAAGCCCATATAAGCATTTTAGATGCATGTTACAAAAAAAAAAAAATTAGATTAAGAGGATTTGTTCTTTAAAAATAAAAAAATAATGTTTATATAATCAGAAAAAAAATAAAATGCTATACCTAATCCTGCAGAATCGGAGATTCTCAAAGAAAATAAGGATTCGAAAAAAATAAGGGTTTACCAAAGGTGGCAAAAGGTAAAATTGAGAGTCTAAGCCCATTTAAGCATTTTAGATTAATATATACATATATATATATATATATATATATATATATATATATATATATATATATATATATATATATATATATATATATATATATATATATATATATATATATATATATATATATATATATATACATACACTAATTTTTAAAATAATTTGAACAAAGTTTAAAACAACAAAAACACAATTTTTACAACATTAATGTTTATGTGATACATAATTTAACAAAAACAAAATAACATTTTTAACCCTGCTTTAGAACAGTATGTAAAAGTTTATGCTAAATTAAACTATTCTTCCATTAAAAGTAGCTACAGAGATGATCTTGATTTTGAGTATATTCTTCTACATGTTTAAATTTATTCCATGTAAGTTTAAATTTAGAATGAGGCCTTCACACTGTTCAGTAAACTGACTGTAAACTGTTTAGTAAAACTTGGAATTTTGGGTAGATAAAAGGAAGTTTTTTAATTTAGCAAATGCTAACTTATAATCAGTAGTAAGAGTTTAACTTGAACAAGAATCTTTTACTATTTTAATGCACTGAACGATAAGTCTGCGTTGAGGAAACTGAGATGTAAAGGTTATTAAAAGACTCTTTTCTATCTACCCAAGGCAGTTTGCTAAATAGTGTGGAGACTTCATTCTAAATCTAAACCTACATAGAATAGTTTTAAACATGTAGAAGAGTATACTAAACACCAAGAGCCATTCTGTAGCCTCTTTTAATGGAAGAAGAACTTAATTTATTGTTAACTTTTACATGTTGCTCTAAAGCAGGATAAAAACTCATTTTATTTTTGTTGGATTATGTACCACATATACATTAATAATGTTATCATTTTAAAATGTTTTTGTTGTTTTAAACTTTAAACTATTTGAAAATTATTTTTTTTTCTTCAACATATTTGGCATCACAAGAATGTGATGAAATTCAAATGATCTTATCTGATTCATAAAAAGAAGAACTGTATTATGTATAGAAGACCCTTGAACTACTGGAGACTTATCGACTTCAGTAGTGCTTTGTAATTTTTCTAAAACAACCAACCACTTTCATGTTAAAGATAGCAAAACTCGCATTACTTTCTTTACAAAGAACCATGAGATGATTAGGGATATTCCTCTTTTTTTTTTGTTATAACTTGTCATAATTTTGAATTGATTCAACCTATATTTTATTATATTTGTCTCAAAAACAGTGTAAATGTTTTTTTGCTATATTGATAAAATAAAATTTATAGGCAAAATCTAATGAAATTAAATTGATTTTAAAAATACAACTTTTTGAATTAGTGAAATGGACATGCACATATATAATAATAAAATGAATATAAGTGCATAAAAAAAGAAATACTTTCAAAAACGGAGTAGAATTTGAAATTAAACCTCAATTTAAAAAAAAAAAAAAGTTAAAAACAAATTGTGCTGTTAATTTTTTTTTGATTTTATTTTTTAAGTTTGCTTATAATATGGATTGCAGTTATTAATTCCACACAAATCTATTTTTTTCTGTTTTTATTTTTT